CACAAACAGAAATGCGTTTTGTCAAGTTGACTTCGGTTAGAGAGTGAGGGATCCAAACATTAAGCCTGGAAACATTACATCGATTCCTAATGCCCCACTTGTAAAGTACCAGAAACTGCTGAGCACATCCTTGTATCCTGAGCCAACTACGAGGTACGGAGGTGAGAATAGATGAAGCAGATAGGTGACCATGGTTTAATAGGAAGCTAATTCCCTCAATTGATGTCTTGATGAAACCACCTGCATTTTAAAAGCTTTTTGTGGATAGGTGTGAAGAAATTGAATTAGATTTATCTTCCTGAAAATTGAGCAAAGAATAGATTCGAGTACGATTTATTTGATAAACTAAAGCAATGTAAACCGACTTAAGGTAGATCATTGTACAAATTTAAATACTCTAATATTGCTGATCAAAAATTTTTGCCATAGCCTAATTTTGTCAAACAATAATTTCTGTTAAAAGTAGAGGAAATAATGAAGATTGTGTGATGGAGGCAACAGATTTTCTTACTTTCACTTAGTCATCGTTTTGCTCTCATTCATCCCATTCTGATACCAGGATATAAACCTTAGCTGTAACTTCGTTAATAAATATCGGAAATTTGACCCGATCGGAATATTTTCTTTCAGTTAGATCGAAAAACATTTTTATTTTCTTCATAACTTTTTTTCCCGAATTCTTACGAGAATTTAGTCCACGTACGAAAATTGAAAGGACAATTATTAGAACATTATAGGGAAGTTTCATCAAAATCGTTGGAGCCGTTTTCGCTCTACAGTCTATAGAAAAACATGTTTTTAATTTATTGCGCATGGAGTACCCGATTTCTGTAGTCAACAGACAGGCATCAGTAATCAAACCCTACAAGAAAATCTTGGCACAGACAGACCAATGTACAACAACAACCCATGAAGGATCTTGTGATACAGTTTTCTTTTATATAATAAATATTTTCAAAAATGCTTTTAAAATTTTCTTAAAATTATGTCGATTTATTTGCACGTGCTCTCGGACTATTTCAATATGAAAGCTGCGTACGCTTTTGAGAGTAATTACCTAACTAAGATTAGAAGTATTAAATGACTATTTAAAATGTTAGCATCTTTGGAAAACAGTTTAAAAACAACAACACGAAACGATAAGAGAATAATGAATTATAGAAACATTGATATGAAGGTCTTTAATAATTCTTGCTACACCATTTTACATTTTATTTTAAAGTGTTAATAAAAAGATCAATTCCTATCTTCACCGATTCCTCTCTCCTTAACTCCTAAAGCTGTCAACTCTTCTGAGGTCAAATTCCTTATAAACGTAAAACCTTTTTATGTTCTTCCCTGCCTCGCCTTTTAGACAATACGGGACTTTCACGGACCGGGGGTGAGAGTGGGGAATCTAAAATTTTCGGCACCGGGACGCAAACTCGTACTTTCTAATCTCTCATAACTCCGGTTATCTGGTTGCCAGACAACTCGCGGTGCTGTGCACACAACATTCATCAACTGTTAAACAAGGCCTTCGTGTTGTTGACCACTTATCCTCTACGCTTGAAAACAAGCAATATTGTACTGGTGCTTTTCTGGACGTAGCACAAGCTTTCGACCGGGTATGGCACGATGGCTTGCTTTCCGAGCTCAAAATCCATCTACCCCAATACTTGTACCTACACTCAGTGTCAAAACGTTAGACACGCCCATTGAAATTAAAAAAAACTTTTCATGTTTTCTTTATTTTTGACAGATATTACTTTTTTAAACACAGTTTAAAGTATAAATTATGATATTGAAATGGGGACAATCTTCTCAGACCTTGAGGAATATTTAACTCAATATAAGTAAATATTGACATTTTATATGTGTCAAAATGATGGACACAAATGTTGGTGTCTACTATTTTCTTAATCCTCTAAAGTTGAAATTGTTCTACTTCAATGCAGTGTTCAATTTGTTTCAAAATAGACCTAAAAAGAACGTGAGTTATGTTAAAAAAGAGCGCCGTTTGATTTCTTCACTCCACAAGGACGGGATGAGTTGTAGAGAAATAGTCGGCTGAATCCCGAATCAAGCAGAGTTTTTCATCTGTCGCGAAGTTTATTCGGCAAGGGGAGACATATGGAATCCACCATTTTACTGAGAGACCCTCTGCTTTGACATTACGACAGAAACGGAATATTCTTCTAATCGCATCCAACTCTTGTAAAACAGGAAGAGAATTACTAAAGAAGCTGTAGTTCAAACAAAACTAAGGAATGTCCATTTATAATTAAAAAAGTAAAAAACAACAGTTAAAAAAAATTGAATAGAAAGCCAATATTGAGCAACCGTCATAAATTAGCCCAAATGGCCTTTGCTCGTAATGTGATGTCATGGACTAAGGAGTGGAAGAAAGTCATCTTTAGTAATGAAAAAAAAATCAATCTGGATGGGCCAGGTGGATTTTCATTACTTAAGAAAAGAAGAAAAAAATTTATCAAGGCGTCAAATGGGAGGAAGAAAAGCTATGTTTTGAGCATCAATTGGTTACCAAAAGTAAGAAAATTTGGTATTTGTTTCATCAAGAGTAAACTCAGCTGAATATAAAAATTTGTTAGAGGAAAAAAAGTCGACTTTTAATGAGGTCTGAAGGGACACCAGTTTTCCAGCAACGCCCCAATATATTCAGCAAAAATGATTAAAGACTGGTTTACTCGCAACAAAATTGCAAAATTAGACTGGTCTGCTGTCTCCCCAGACCTGAACATTATCGAAAATGTTCTGAGAACTCTTTCAAGAAGGGAGTACTCTGAGTCAGGATTTGAAATATGCAATTCTGGCCTCGTGGGAACAATTATCTCAAGAAACAATCAAACAATTCTACGATTCATTACCAGACAGAATTTTTTATTTAATAAATGGTATTGGAAAGGTCACGAAGTATTAAAATGAGTTTTATTTATTTTTACCAGGGAGCGTGTCTAACATTGTGACAGGCCTTAACTTTAATTTAAAAAAAAAGTATATATTTTTGGCCTGAGAACCAAAATAATAGTAGGCTGCTGATTAACTTCAGGTGGGAGATAGATTATTTTAATACTGTTGTTTGAAAATATGTGAGGGTAACAATTTTTGAAGTGTATCTAACATTTTGACACAGAGTGTAGCTGTCAAATCCTACCTTTTAATTTCAAGTCCGCTGTGGGACCGAACTCTCCAATTACTATCGAGTTGAGGCTGATGTTCCAAAAGGCAATCTCTTGGGCTCAGTTCTCTATATCCTCTTCACTGCCGATATCACTTCAAATCCCGATACCTTCCTAGCTACATTTGCTGATGACACTGCCATCCTATCCTCCCACTCAGATCCTCAAATAGCATCCCGAAACCTGCAAAGACACCTCTCCCTGAATGAGCTGTGGTGCATCAAAATTCCTCTTCCCTACTCAGACGCAGTCCGATACCTTGTCTTCCTTCTAGACTAAAGGTTAACTTGGAACTCACAAACTAGACTTCCCTCCAGTCCAATCCTTCGAACAATAGTCAATGCTCCATAGTATGTATCAAACAAAACCTTACACCATCACCTTAACTCCCACATGTCCTCGACATCATTCCATCCAGATTCTCAAACTTTCACCAGAATATTATTAATCATCCAAATTCTCTAGCGTAATCCCAGCTCCGATCTTCCTTTTCGAAGGTTAAAACACCATTGACCCGAGATCTCTTGTAAATTTGTTTTTGGAGTCCTGGCAATGGCCAGCTTATACAAGTTCTGAGCATCTGTGGCTCTAGTGCCCTCTCGCCACTGGCTTCTAATACCAGTGATGCGGCTGGAAGAAAGGCACTGGGAACTCCCAGGGTCCTGCTTTGCCTTCCACATGAGGAAGAAAGTGCTTGGCTCGGAGTTTTCTGGTCGAATGTAAATATTTTATATATCTATGAATGTCTTTAAGAAGATTTATTTTATCCCCACATATATTATTACAGTAAGGCTCGAAATCGGTTTTGTACCAAATATAAGCTCCAGTCATGCTCAAATACCATGAATGGGGTACTGTTGGATTCAGAATTTCACGGGGGGTTAGCGAATCGTATTCTTAACTTTTGTCTTCCTTCAGAACTATCGGATCCTGCGTTTTTAAGCCCAAAACGTACTATTTTCGAGATAACGCAAGGCATAGGGTTCGCATCCACACAGCCTTACGTAGTGCTGTCATTGAATACATGTCTCATTTCGTCGACTTGAGGTCTCTATGATCGAGAGAGGAGTTTATATTGTTTATCGATGGTGTTTTTGATCGACAAGCCATATCTTCGTTAATTCTTCACCAAATCTCAAGATTGAGGCCCCAATTTCGAAGGCTTCCTTCTCCTTCAGGCGGGAAAAATAGTCCAATCACTCCAAAAATTCAGGCAAACAAGTTATGAAAGAAAACAAACTTTATTTGCGAATAACTGAAAAAATACAAACATTTCCCTTGGCTATGTCCATGATTATATAAAAAATTACTTAATTCTCTACGAATTATGAAAAGAAAATCATCAAAATCGGTTAATTTTAGCAAAGATACAGCTTATTGAAATTCGTAAATATGTTGGTTCCAAACAAAAATGAAGATTTTTTGGGGGGTTATTACAACAATTTGTCTCTTGGACAAAATTTGAAGATTTAAATTCTTATTTATTGTATATATATTATTTTTCTGTATAATTTATTTTATTTACTGTACATAGAGTGTAAATGTGATCTTTGAACACTATTATAAATGTCCTTGAGACAGATTGTAATATTTTTCAATAAATAAGCTTAAAAAAAATTATTTACATATTTTTTATATTATGTTTCTTAATATTTGCAGTTATTTTTCTTTTGTGTATATATTGTATGAATGAACACTCTTAGCCTTAATAATTTATTGTTCTACAAAAGTTGCACATTGTATTATTATTCGATAAAATAAATAAAAAGATTTTGATAAAAATAAAAAAATCTACGGAAGTTTACCTGCGTTTGGTTATAGCTTCTCCGATGAAGATTTTACTGATTCGGATCTGTTAGACAACGAAGAAGAAGAACCTGTCGATAAACCAAAAACGAAAGTACAACAGATGTGGAAGACACTGGTAAAAGAGAGAGGCATCTTGGTGTCTCGCGAAGGAGCGTCGGCGGCCATGAACAGGGAGAGTGCGCACCACGTCAAGAAGTTCCTCATCGAGAGGGCCTCCGATCCGATCAACTTTATTGGCAAATGGAGGCCGAGGTAAAAATGTCTGAAAAATTTGTTTGCTCATTTTAATATCATTTCTAGAAGTAAAGAAGAAATTCTTATTAGTTCCAAGCAGGGATGTATCTAGGGGTTAGTTTTTGGGAGGGAAACTAATTAACTTATTGAAGTAGGGAGAAATATTATTCTGCCTATGGGAGAAAGTTTAATAAATAGATTATCTAAGTGTTTTGCATCTTTAGATATTTAAAATCGATTAGGCATTAGTCCAAGGGCCGAGTTTTCTCTCTCAAATACAGCATATTTCAGTTCTATATGAAGAAAATATCATTTTTAATCTGCCCCGTGTGCCATATTAATATAAGTGTTGATATTAATGGGTTTTTTTCTATCGTTTATGTATTGTAACTTTTTGATATTGATTTTATGATAAATATAATTATGTTGGACATAAAAGAAAAAAAATTAATATGAAAATATTTTATATAATTTAATTGAATAAGTCAGATTTGACCACTAGCGGAACCAGGATTTATTTTTGGGAGGGGGGGCTTAAGCCCGAAAGTTGTTTTTTTCATAAAAATAACAATAATTACTTTGGAAAAAAAGAAAGAAACTAACTACCTATATGAAATGGTGTTTAAGTGATCCCTAAAGCTCTTTTAAATGTAATTACACGAACAATAATACTTTAAGAGATACTTTTTAAATATTTTTTTCGATAAAACATGGTTATATTTTACCATTTTGGGGGGGGGCTTCAGCCCGAAAGCCCCCCCCGTAGATCCGCCCGTGGATTTGACAATAAAACAATCAAAATAACTTAGGTGAGCTTGATACCAAAGCATGAAAATTTGATTACAAAATAACATGAGTTGTTTGCTTTAAAATACAATTTGAAAAATGATATCGCATTGCCAATGACAAGAAATGCACTCGGGCATATTTCAATTTCCGTAACAAAAACTGGTAGAAGATAAAAATTTGAATTCAACCATAACAACTCAAAATATCCAAAGAAAACTTCCCTCTCGTGGCGGTGTACGGAGTGTGCTACAGGAGTTTTCCAAGCTATTAAAAAAAAAAATAAATACTAGAAGTTCTTAGGATCAGTGACAGGCGGGAAGGTTGTAGAAGGAAAATAAGGGTTAGATTTCCAAATAGCTGTATCCAACCAAATAGCTGTATGTGTAGCTGAGACCAAGACATACTAGTAGGATTCAGTTTAGAGAGGGCTTCAGCCCGAACGCTTTATATATATGTGTGTGATATTGATTACTACTTTGGAAGAAGAAGAAAGAAACTAACTACATGTATGAAATGGTGCGTAAGTGATTCTTGAAGTCCTATTAAATGTAACTGCACAAAAAACATTAAAATATTTTCCATAAGACTTAACCATTTTGAGGAGGTCCTCAGCCCGAATGCTCTCCCTTTCCCTCCCCCGTAGATTCACCTACGCCAAGGCAACCGGGCACTTTTGATGTTTGATGTTTGACAGCCGAAATCCAAGGGTGGCACATTCTTCGCACCCGATGTAAGGTTGAAACAATCCGCTGAATATAGCGACTATTTTGATGCTTACTGTGGAGGGAAACTATGCGTTTTTGCTTGCTCGACGAATGGCAAACGCATAGACGACTGCTGTTTTTACTGCGTTAGAAATTAAATGTGGGACAAGAGGTGAATACAGCTGTTACTTGATTGGCTATTCTGATCACTTAGGTTCTTGAGGAGCGGGCTGGTCCGCCGCTCGGGCCTGTACCAGATGGTATGCAAGGACCACCAGACCGTGACGTGGACCCTCAAGCAGGCGATCCCGCCCTTGGAGGGCACCGGCTTCAAGATCCTAAAGCGGCCCTACGACTACGACTGCGGCCCGGTCAGGGTCAGCCTGTGGCTGTATTCGGAGCCCGCCAACCCCCACGAGGCCCTGCAAGGGCTGGACGCCGAGAACCCGGGCATCGGCGTCTCCGCCTGGAGGCTGGTGTCGGTCGACGTTACGGACGGGTGGAGGCACTTCACCGTCGATGTCGGCAGGGAGTCTGCGATCTACCTGGAGAGCAATGGCTGGACCATTCTCTATTGGAACACCTTGTTGCCCGTCACTAGGATACTCAATAAAGCAAAGCAGCTGTTTTGTAATCAACTTGCGGGGGATAATCCATAATAATTACGTAAGTATTTCTAGTAATGTTAGCCATTAAGAATTATTAGAATACCGCTTTCCTTTCCTCCCACCGGTCCCTTCTAAAATAGAAGAAACGTGATATTATGATTATGTTTTTTACATTACTCAGAAGTTTGTGATGTTATTTTGTTGAAGGATAGGTGTCAGTGTAACTGTACATAGTCGGGCAGTGGTTGTAACAATGACTCAAGATTATCTGCTGAATTCTAGACGATTTTCGAAAAGTCTTCTTTATCTTCGCTAGTAGGCTGCTTCGTCTCCTGGACGCTGTCTAAGATTTTTAATTCCTTGTGTACAAAGCGGCGTCTATAGTTCGCTGCGTATACTTCTTCACAGAGGACGCATTTAGGCAATGTGTTTACAAGTTTTTTACAGCTCGATGACAGATGTGCTCCAGCACATTTGACACATTTCGGTTTCAAATTGCGATATGATTTGTTGTGTCCATAGGATTGGCACAGCTTTCATTTAAAAATTTCATTGTGTCTTCTCGGTTCTTCAACCATGATGTTTGTATGATACAGGAATTATAATGAGAATATTTGACATTTTTCACTAAATGAACGAAAAATATCGGCAAAAGTGGTTTTGTTCTAGGAAAAAGGATGTTGTGTATAACTAGTACTTGGTAACCCAATTCTTCGAATTCTGTTTTGATTAAATCGTAACCTATAGTATGATGTAGGTTTCTTAGAACGACGCAAAAAGGGCAAGGGTGGTCGTCAGGAAGTTGATAGGTGTGAAACTCTTTAACCAGTGGAACTATACTCGATTTTACCTTGACCTCTTCCTACCAGCAGTGCTTGAAGGTGTGTTGTTTTTGAAGTGAGTATAGTTGAAGATGTAGGCAAGTTGTAAAGTAGATTATATGATTACGTTAATGGGATTGATGTGACCCTTGCATCCTTGCCACCTGGCAGGGATGGATCGGAATAGTGGATTGAAGATCGAGAAGAACTTGGTATTAGTTCTCGATATGTTAGTTGTATTAGTTCTCGATATGTGTTGCTCAACAGAGTCGAGCACGGATGAGATATCGAAGGTCTAATATCGATACCTTCACCGATATTTTGATCGGCATATAACTATCGACAACATTAAAATATTGGACTTTTTAATTAATGGATTAAGAAATCGATAGCCGATATTTTAATCGAAATTATAAACATTTTTGAAATATGAATATAAATATAGATTCTATAATCCATAGACTAATAAAAAAAGATGTTATTTTCCTCTTCAGATTAATTAATGGAAATATCAATGTTTGTACCCACCTTAGTAAAATTAATTTTCTAGTTCCTATCCATCTTCGCCATCTTCAGCTTTTTTTCCAGAAATTTTCATTCAACCCATTATACCTTCCATTCAAACAATTATGCCTTCCATTCAACCAATCATGTCTTCCATTCAACCAATTATACCTTCCATTCAACCAATCATGCCTTCCATTCAACCAATCATGCCTTCCATTCAACCAATCATGCCTTCCATTCAACCAATTATACCTTCCATTCAACCAATTATGTCTTCAATTCAACCCATTGTACCTTCCATTCAACCAATTATGTCTTCCATTCAACCCATTATACCTTCCATTCACCCATAGATTGGATTCAGCGAAATGCTAATTTATTGAATATGCATCCTACATAGATATCTTTGACAATTTCAAGCCTTGGTCTGAGAGGATTCTAAATAAGATATTTGGGCTAATTGAGTTTACTGAGAGTAAAGTATGGCCATCAAAAGTAGATATTATCGAAATATCGATATTATCCTCTACTACGCACTACATTCAATATGAAACAAGATGAGTATATTTTCTTTGCTAACGATTAGATTTATATATAATTTCCAACGCTTTCTAAAAAGGATAGTTTTAAATTAAATTACTGAAATATCGAATTAGATACCATCGATGGTAAAGTATCGAATATAGGAAAATAAATATCGATATTTCAATATCATCGATGGTCTCATCCCTAGCGTCGAGTTGTAGTTCGTTGTGGATGACTTTCATGATTCTTCTTTCAAAGGTTTTACCCTTTGGTAATCTTCATGAGTATACTGTTCTGGTATTGTTGTACCTAGTAACATGAAGACAGTGGGATATTGATAGTAAAGAAGGGGCGCAATAGAGTAGTTATGGTATAATATCTCAACGAGACTTATCATTATTTAGCTATCATTTTCCATAATGGATTCGTCGTACAGCACCTGTCACCGAAACATTTCTATTCCTATATACAATATAAGATTATAAAGATAAGACTCAACAGAGCTGCGTTCAGATAACTGGATGGAAATAGTCCAAGACAGGCAAAGATAGAGTAGGCTTGTTAAGAAGGCAAAAGATGTACGTGGTCTGTAATGCCATCGGGAAAAAAAAAATCTGGTGCGCGAAACACACAACTTTCACATACCTCTCTACTTTTAATAGAAATCATTTTTTGGCCATGCTGGACTATTATAAAATGTTTGAAGTGCATTTTTAACCGAGCTAATGCTTAAAGCTTACACCTAACAAATCATTAATACCATTAAAATAACAAAATTTATATTATATCACTGGTTGATTATGGATTGTACAACTATTAGTTATTAAACTGTTATTTTCCACAGCAAAATTTACTAAAATGAAATTACGAGATTTGGATTGCCTGTCACAGACAGGTCAAATGTCGCATTAATTGTAAGTGTGACAACGCCAATAACACACTTACTATCGACTATCGCACATCTCTAGACAAGCACAAGTTGGAAAATATTGTTGATATTCCACTAGCTTTGAAAGTTTACTAATCGATTTATTAATTTCAGTCACTCCGTTTGAATGGACTAGAAAAAAAAAACCGGGGCCATCGAGATGCTCTAAATGTACATAGCGAACGAAATACATAGAGAATTCAGTCAGTAGGTAAATGGTGTTTAAGTCACCTCTGCAGTGTAATAAATGGAGAATAAACTTAATTTTAAAAATGTTTTTTTTTTTTTTCATCTATGAAAATTTGTTAAATAGTTTCATAAGATTTTTTCGATATTAAAAAATAAAATAAAATTTTAATAGAATTTTATAGAATACAAAATTGAACATTTTTGTGGGACTAATCCTCCTTAGAATAACAATAATGAACTAATACAAAAGAAAATACATATCTGGCCACAGGCGGATCTACGGGAGGGGAGGGGCTTTCGAGCTGAAGCCCCCCTCAAAATGGTAAAATGTAACCATATTTTACAAAAAAAAATACTTTATACTATCTCTTAAAGTATTCTTGTTGGTGTAATTACGTTTAATAGGACTTCAAGAACCACTTAAACACCATTTCATATAGATAATTAATTAATTTCTTTTTTTTCAAATTAATTATCGTTATATATGTATATATATATATATATATATATATATATATATATATGAAAAAATAAAAACTGTCGGGCTGAAGCCCCCTCCCCCCAAAACTAAATCCTGGATCCGCTAGTGTATCTGGCCAAAAACCAACTTAATAAAGATTCTAACAATATATACAGTAATTTTTGTCTTTTGTTTACTTAATGAAATTTGCAACTGTATACAAATACGACTAGTAAATATGCACAAATTATAAATAATGACATGAACAGGCTTGAAGAGATACTACCCAGTAGTAGCACTCCCTAAATAATTCTAAGTGAGAAGTACACGAGGCCATCTCCTTTTCAGCGGATTATCAGGGATCGAGGAAGCAGCAAGGGTGGAAACAAGGGGATTTGGATGGGACTGGAGTTTATCATGAAAGGATAGGTATCTGGCTCGGGCTAAATCTGGTACATTAATGTCTTTATGAATGGTTTTATTTGTGACAATGTATGGAGCATTAACGATTTTACGGAGGTTTTTGGATTGATATACAGTAATTTAAATAATAGTGTGTAAACCACTACAAAAAATAAAATAATCAAATAAAAATGCAATCTTCTCAGGAATACTGCTATTGTAAAAATTATTATATTGCCTCTTAGCAGTCATGTAAATAAAATATGGATATAATTAACTCATCACTTATTTATGAAAGATCCTGCATTGACCATATTTTCAGCTCTTAGAGAAGCAAACGGACAAATCAAAAAGATTAGATTTAGTTTTCATTGACTTTGAGAAAGATAGTGTGCCACGCGAACTCCTATGGAATGGGGAACACTCAAGAAAGGCTGGAATAGACCAAGGGACCGTGAACGTAATTTGGGAAATTTACACAATATAAAAGGTACCAGATGAAAATAGGACCATTATTGTCCAGAGAGTTCCAAAACGGAAAAGGGTTGCTGCATGTCCCACAACTCTAATTAAAATATTCCTAGACGAGTGCCCAAAAGGATGGGTGATGAAATGTAGGAAAATGGGCGTCGAGTTAAGAGGAATAAACCTATGCTATTTACTACTTGCTGATGACTAGGTGTTAATTGTACGAGATGAAGAGAATATAAGCTACCTATACAGAATAATAATAGACCATTATCAGCGAAGAGGCATCCAAACAAACTATAACAAAACTAAATATATGTGCGCGGAGAAAGAAGAGAACATCAAACCTAAGTAAAGTTTTGTAAGTACAGTTTTGTTATTTGGGATCCATAATTGAAAGCTATGGTAGAGCAGATGACAGAAATCAAGAAAAGGATGAGAATGCTTCACTATTTACGAGAGACGCCCCTGTTTCCTGTTTCTATGAAGAGTTGAAGTGGCTTTATCCTTCCTACCGCCGTAAGTATTTCCTGGCATCCTTCCTCTTCCAAGTAATTCACTCCCGCCGTCCTTCATACATCGCCGAGCTTCTTCAATTCAAATCCTCTGTCCACTCCCGCAATACCCGTTCCCGGTCTTCAGACTTATATATAATGGCCCCCCCCACCCCGAACCGCTGCTTTCGATAAATCTTTTATTGTTCGATCCTCTTCCCTATGGAACTCCATCTCCTGGACATCTGTGGACATGTGGGGAGGACATCCGTCAATCCAAAACCCTTCCTACCTTTAAATCCCAACTGTTTAATCATTTCTTATCCATCCAGTCCTCATAAAATTGTAAATAGTTACTACTGTAAATATGTATTTAAATTACTAGAACGTTTTTTATTATTTTTACTTCATGTTTATTTTCAATTTTTTATTATTAACTGATGTAAATTAGAAAGTAACTTATAATTTCTCTTATTATTTATTTTATTTATATATATATATATATATATATATATATATTTTACTATTTAATCAAACTATATTCTTGTTTATGTATCTCTGAGGCTCCTTAGCCCACATTTTTGTCTCTCTGTATTATTCTAAAGTAACTTTTCCCAGAATAAATAAAGCATTATTATTATTATTATTTACTCCGAAGCAGCAATATTTTAATAAAAACAAAAAAGCTAATATACAAAGGTTTGGTAGAAAGCTTAATGCTGTATAGGTCGGAGACATGGTTCCTCAGTATGACCCAGAAAAAAAAATTCTTTCAGTTGAAATGGATTTTTGGAGGAAAGCAGCTAGGATATCCAGGATCGAAAGGGTAAGAAACGCCACTATAAGGGAGGGATTGGAAATATCCTAGAGATAATGGAAGAAAGGAGACTCAGGTGGTATGATCATGTGAGACGAATGGGCGAGGATAGGATAATGATAATAGTAATAAAAGGCTTAGCGAACACGAAGGTTCGATCCCGACACTACCAATCTCTTATTACACACCTCCCTCCACCGTTCGCAGTCCAAACCTAGTCCCTTCAGATCGGCTTTAATGCAATCTTCCCACCTTCGCTTTGGTCTACCTCTCGGACGTTTACCATTCGGTACACCAAATGTTAACCTTTTAGGAATTCTTTCGTTACTAAGCCCAACAGTTTTACTAGACCATTTGATTCGCCGTGATGTAATCACCTCAATTATATTAACCGGATACAGTTCCCACGAATCGGCGTCGTCTGAACTCTCCGGTCAACTCATCCTTCTTCGGTCCGAATATTCTACGCAATACTTTATTTTCAAAAATCTTAAAACGTTGCTCATCTCTTCATTCAAGCGGCCACGTTTCGCATCCATAGAGAACTGTAGGTAAGGTAATAATTGTTATAGATTCTAGGTTTTAAGTTTCGGGAAAAGATTCGCGAGCTAGGTAGTTTTGTCACAGAAAAATAACAAGCATTTCCCGCCTTCAGCCTGACCTTAATCTGCTCTCCAATTTCTTTTTTTCTAGTTATCGTAGAACCTAGATACCTAAATTTATCTACCTGTTCAAACATATTACCATCTATATCGATATCATCAGTAGTATCGCCATTTTTGCAGTTAACCATATATTTTGTTTTATCCACGTTTATTTCGAGTCCTAGTTCTTTACCGGCTTACATTAACGTTGTTGTATTTAGTTTTATAGTTTCAAGGTCTTCGCTTAACAGTACCAGATCATCAGCATAGCCCAGCACGGATGTTGTCCCGCCCAGGTCCAACCCTTTCTCGGTACACATTACCTCCCTAACGGCATGTTCTAATGCCAAATTGAACAGGACAGGCGAAAGAGAATCCCCCTGTTTTAAACCCGAACGAACTGAAAATTTTCGGACAGATTATTACCGATTCTAACTTTATTGAGTGTCTCCGTCAAGCACATCCTGACTAGATTTACTAGTTTTTTTTTGGAATCCCCTGCTCGATTAGAATATTATACAGTTTCTGGCGGTCAATAGAATCGTAAGCCTTTTTAAAATCTAAATACAGCTGGTGAACAATACCGTTATACTCCAATTTGTTCTCTAATATTTGCCGTAAAGAAAATATTTGATCAATAGTTGAACGATTCCGTCTAAATCCGCATTGGTAGTCTCCGATAATTTCTTCAGCGTATTCCGTAATTCGACTGGTTAAGATTAAAGTGAATATTTTATAACATACCGGAAGGAGTGAAATTCCTCGATAGTATTACAATCCGTCCTCGGACCCCTTTTGTGAATCGGAATATTACTTCAGTAACAGTTTCAAAAATCTAAACCTAAAACAGGGGATATAATCTCTGTATTAGGCACCATCTCTTTGCTCCTAATTGTCAAATTTTAACTTTTTTTTACTTTCACTTACGTATGTATGTAATATATAGTAAGGGTAAGTATGGCGATCGATAACATTTGTTTTAAGAGGTTTCGTAAACTTTTAAATAACCATATTAATACAATATTAACAAAAAAATGTTTACTTTTTGAGTTAATTTAATTTTACTACCCCTCGTAACTTTTTTTTTGCCAGTTTCTTTTAGTTGAAGTATGTTATATAGATATATTTAAAAGGCTTCGAAAAGAAGACTTTAGCCAAGTTTCATTGAAATCGGTACATTCGTTTAAGCGCTACAGACTATAGCCGCTTTTTTTCGGCCGCCATCTTTGAAGGAATAGGCGGATAGTAATGTCGATGAAGGAGGATCATCCTCGGGTGACCTCTGAATTGTATTGTTATAATAAACCAAAACAGCAATTAGAAAAAAAAAGTGATTTCTTAATTATTATCTATTTTTCTATCAGGTTATCCCACTCTTAAATGTATTTAAAAACACTGAAATTATTTACTTAGAAATATGTTTTGGCCACACAGCAATGTAATATTATTATTTCTAGCATCGAACGGAATTCGGCGTACATTCTGGACAATGACGTACCTATTTTTTTTTTTTTTTTTTTTTTAAGGGAAGGGGATCTATTGTGACACAGCTTTAGATATCAACAAATATCTATTTAATAAAACATTTAAAATCTAACATTAAGAAAATGGCAATTTATTTGATAAAGGCGTATTATCTTTACTGATAATACATCCGATTGGTATTTCCCGCGAGACGTCAACATCGAAGATAACCCGTTAGTTCTGTCCACGGTCGTTAGGAGTCTTAGAAGGTATGTGCTCATCAGTATTTACTTTTTCAATATTTGTGGCTTTGGTTCGAAAAGGTTCTTAACTAACAA